CTTACATTTAAATTATGTTCGAAAATACAATATATAATTTATTGGAACTAAGCTGGAAAAATAAATATGAAGGTCGATTAAAATATAAACCATGAGGTAAGTTTATCCTTTTTCAATTATTTGGTGCATTTTAAGTGTATTTTTTATTGGTCCATTTATATNAGGTAAGTTTATCCTTTTTCAATTATTTGGTGCATTTTAAGTGTATTTTTTATTGGTCCATTTATATATTTCTTCTTTTATTTATAATTATGATTTGGTCCTCCATATGAAAATGCATTGGAACATGTATTAACACGTTTTTTTAACTGGAAGAATAACTTCACAGTTTGAACATTGAATTAAAAAAAACAAAAACAAACAAAAAAAACAATACTTTGGGCTTAGTTCCTATATCAGTATCACTTGTAGTTGGATTTTATTAAACATCTTATCGCAGCATGAATTCCATCAGCTAAGTTGTTAAACTTACATTTAAAACTAAATTCATCAGTCTGTGATTAATTCCAAATGAAAAGAAGCGGGTATAGATGATGGATGGATGCTGAGACTGAAGATGACAACTCTCCCTTTCAGTTTGATCTGCTTTTAGATTCTGTCTAAAGTCCTTCTGTCTGAGGAGCTGTTAATATTGTTCACAAGCCACCTTCAGCATGTGAAAATGGCTCTTTACCATTTAGGTGTTAGCTGTTTGGATGTTCCCACAGGTCCTGACTTCACACACGAATCTGTCCTGATAAGGTGAAGCTGAGGCAGATAAGCAGCAATGAGTCCTGGATGTGTGGGACGTTATCTGAACAGGCAGGAAGGAGGCCACCCAGAACAGAGCCATGTCACCGCGGCGCTGCCCGAGCTGCTTCCTGCACAAACATGTTATCGTCCAGTCACAGAAAGCACACACGTGTTCTCCTAACGAGGAAAAGACAGCTCACTGTGTTTGTGTTACGTCACAGAAACCACACACCTGTTTCACTGATGAGACCAGAGGCTGTCTGCAGACTGATTTAGAGCCACATCACAGAAATTACAAACATGTTCTCCATCAGCTTCAGTCTGCCTCCTCAACACAAACACGTCACTGTTTAGACCTGCATCTCTACACACTGAAATTTAACACAACTTTCTTTGAAATCTGCTTCATCAAACTGTCTTTATTGTCTCATTATGCTACACACTGTTTGTTCTGCTTTTAGCTAAACAGCAAATTTTAGCTCTTGTTGACAGTTTTGTTAGCACAGTTAGTACAGGTGTGCCATGACATCACACAACAGAAACTATCCATCCGTCCATTATCTATACCCGCTTCTTCCTTTCAGGGTCATGGGGGTCACATCCATATCCAGCAGCCACAGTGTGAGGGGCGGGGCACACTCTGGACAGGTCTCCAGTCCATCACATCAACATAAACTAAAACTAAACATAAACCAAACTAACATAATAAAACTCCGCCCACTTTGGAGCTCTGTTAGCTCTAGCTGCTATTTTGCTTTTTTACTCTGTTTTAGTCATACTATTTTTACATTTTAGCTAATTTTCTACGAGTTTTAACTCTCAGCTACCCTTTGCCAGCTTCAGAGAGCAGTTTGGATTGAGATTTAGTTGTTGAGGTGTGGCTGAGAGCTGGATGTGGACAGATTTTAAAATACGATAAGAAATGTAATGTTTCCTAAGTTACCTGAGACGACCAACCAAACACTCCCACCTGGGCCAATCTAAAATCATCTTGTCCACTTATCACCTACAATGTGGGAGAAACCTGGACAAATCCAAACCTTAAAGATACATGTATTAAATGACTGTGGCTGAAAACAGCAGAACTGTCTGTTTGAACCTTCAAGTTTCAGACAGATTATAGGTTGAATTAATTTTAGTCCTTCTTAATTTACAGGTTGCCCAGGTGAAAAAATATACACTTAAGTATATTCTAAATAGGCTTCGTTTTTCCGAAATACATTTTAATACATTATAAATAGAATGTACTGTAGGGGTCACCTGGAGTATTATAAACAAGAAAACTGCCTTTGACCTCAGACCTCTGATGGGCCGTTTAAAGGCACAGAACTCTGTTCTAGTTGAACCTGAATGTGGGTCACAACAGGTCACCTTAACCTCAAAGAGACATTCTCTTTTCTCAATCAGATAATTAACAGAATACTCTTCTTTGTATTTTGATTTATTTTTCTCTCAACTAAGAGTTATTAATATTTTGATAATCATGAAACAATGTTTATCAAGTTACAGGAGAAAGAGAACAGATCTCTTTTCTCCCTCAATGTGATTTCAGCTATGTATGGATTTTTCTGTGGGAATATCTTACTTAACCAAACTAATCATTATGGTTTAAGTTGATAAAACACCAGTCTTTTATTTGTCTGAATCATATTGCAAATGTTTTTGAGTTTGAAGTAATTCATTCTTTTTAGTCGTTTTTAAGAGCACAGACGACCTACGTCGTCGGGTCAGGCCTCTGCAGTTTACACTCATCTACAGGCCAGGACTCTGCAGTTTACACTCATCTACAGGCCAGGACTCTGCAGTTTACACTCATCTACAGGCCAGGAC